GATGGCAGCCTGTGGCAAGTGCAGCCAGGCTGATGGCCGAGTGCTGTGATGTGCCGAGTGTAGGCACTCAGGGCACTCCAAGCCAGGACTGCTTTGCAAGCGGGGAACCCCTGAGAACTGTCTGTCCGGAGTGGTGGTCAGGACCCTTTAAGCACAGCCCTCGGCTAGCCTGAGACAGCAGCTCCATGCTCTAAGTCCTATTCTGATGCCCTGCCGGCACTGCTTCCGGCCATCCTTAACCCCAGTTCAGGGTCCACTCAGTGTGGACATGCTAGTTCGAATGAGCAAAACGCTGATTCGAATGAGCAAAACGCTGATTCGAACTAGTTTTTAAGTCTAGCTGCGCTAAGTCGAATTAGTTTAGTTTGAATTAACTAATTCGAACTAAGTTAGTTCGAATTAGTGCTATAGTGTAGACGTACCCTACGTCTTTATTGCCCTCAGGAGTGACATATCAGCTAGAATCACCATCGCTTATGGAAACTGTATTGTTTCATTCAACAGAATGATTCCCTCCTCCTTACCAGCCCTGGCCAAAACAGAACCCTTGCTGGTGTTGGAGGATAGTGCGGTGCTGGAGGGTAGTGCGGCTGCAGTGTCAATAAGCATGTCGTGCTTAAAACTTTAGCAGATCAAAGGAAGAGAACTCTGAAACTTAATTTTCACATCCTGTTGTATCTCTAAATACAACACTTCTGTGTGTTTTATCTGTAACTTCTGCTGCTTTGGCCAGGAGAGCTCTCTCTTCTACAAATGCAGAACACTTCACCATAATAAGGAGGAGAAAGAAGACGACACAGGAGGACATATAGTGTGATCCTGAAAGCCAGTGCTGCACGGAGCATGGAGGGTGGATGTTGCTGACTGAATGGAGAGGGGCCCAAGAGTTAAAGATTAAGATGCATCAAGACATAATGGGGCTTCTCTGGCAGCAAACACGAATGCTGCAGATTCTTACTGACTGACGGGTCCAACAGCCACAGTCTCTCCACATGGCATCTAAGGCTTCATCCCCACCCTTACCACTACACACTGACACACAATAAGAAACACAGCTTCATATACGCTTATTGGTGAGTGGTTAGGATAGCTGTATGTGTAGTCAAAATGAATTAAAATGGACATGAATGTTCTTTCCTCTATTCTCTTCATTTATTTCAGACATTTTTATTCTGTTTTATCATTGCACATTGGTTTGTTGCACTGCTTTTGGTATGCAATATACATCTATTTTTTGGTAAAAAATTCATCTTTCTTACTTAACACCACATGCTGCAGAATGTCAAGCGCTACTCAAAGCATTTACTATTTGTTATTCCACCGGGTGACAGAACTCAGGATCAGTGACAAACAGCATAATAATTATACATGGACAGCAAGCACCGCAGTGCAATTAATAGGTGACAATAACAGACAGTGTTGTATATGCCAGGTCCCAAGAGTAAGGGTAGCATAGCCTTACTCAGAGACATCCCCTCCCCACCCCCATACAAAGCAAACTCAGCCAAAAAAGCTTCTGGGTGGCTCACACTCCTTTTATATTAGGTAGGGCTGATGCTTACAGTTCCGTTAGCCGAATGTGAGTTCATACCTATCTTTCTGAACGGGGTTTTAACTCAATCCACAACCAGATTTCACAGTGCTCATAAAAATACTTAAGCAGCATTTTACAGTCATTAATTAAGCCTATCTAAACTCTGAAGTTTAATAAGTCTTCCATATAAAAGTGATGCAGAAATTTGTGTTGCCAACCCAGGGCTTGTTTACACTGGCAAGTTACTGCACTGAAACTCTCTCGCTCGGGGGGCAGGGAGGAGAAATCACCCATATGCCGAGCACAGCAAGTTTCAGTGCAGTAACTTGCCAGTATAGACAGGGTTACAGTGATATGAGCTACATTCCTTGTGGAAGTGGTTTTCCTAAAGTGCTGGGAAAGAGCTCTCCCTCAACTGAAGCTGGGACCACACAATCGCTTTAATGCTGGAAGTATAGACAAAGCCTCAGTGAGCAGTACTCAGCTGTAGGAGTGGACATTATATTACTGTCCTAGAATAATATTAGATGATACTGTGATTCTGGAGAGGACATAGTTTTGGATGAGATATGAAATTGGCCTCGCCTTCTTGTGGTCATTACAAAACCCACAGAATTTCTCCCTAGTTTTTATCCCAGGTTCAATCAGATTCAGCTTTCTTTATTTTCTATTCTGTATGGCTTTAATGTGCTACAAAGCTGAGGTGTTTCACTCTCAAACTGGCTGCATTTAAGTGACAGATGAAGAGGTCTTTATATGTAGTTTATATATCAGTGTTACATTTATAAAGCTCTTTGGGATCCTGCAGAATGATGCTACTATAAATGAGAAGTACTCTGAATGAGAAAAATGCTAATTTGAAAAAGTTTAATATAACTACAAATACAATTCCCAAAATGACTACTATTTTAACAGCTCTCTTTTGGCAAATCAAGTGTTAACTTGTGCATCTTTAGTACTGTTCTCATATTTTACAAGCCATTTTGCTCAGCCCAGTAATATGAAAGTGCAAAAGATAAGAAGCACGTGTGAAACTGTGGAATGTTTTTAAAACAAAACACTTAAGTCAAATGTAGACGCAAGACAACTTTCTGAAAATGTTGCTCTGTCAGCGTTGGCATGTCTACACAGTAGGGCTAAACTTGAAATAAGCGACGCAACTTGAGCTACGTCAATTGTGTAGCTTAAGTTGAAATAGCTTACTTCGACTTTGGGCACATCTACACAGCACTTATTTCGAAATAGAGCACTCTTCCCCCGAATTCCCTTACTCCTCATACAATGAAGTTTACAGAAGTCAGAGTAAGAAGCCCGTTATTTCAAATTTATTTCGAAATAACAAGCTTGCTATGTAGACGCACTCTATGTTAGAAATAACGCTGCTGTATACATGCCCTATAAGAGCCATAGAAAGAAGTTATGATCTTAAGTACATATTTTAGAAATTTGAATCTGTTAGTCTGTCTCTCTGTCTGTAAGTCCAAGAACTCTTTCTAAACAGTTAGAGCTAGGACCACCAAATTTGGTATGCAGCTTCCTCTTATCATAACTCAAAGCAAGATAGCACAACAATACCCCTAAGACAATGGGATGTGCCTGGAATTCAGTTTCTTCTCATAAAATGGAAAGAGAGGGGTTGGTTAGGAGGGATAGTTATACTACAGAATGACCACTGAAGGGCAGCAAGGGGTCAGAGATGGGGACTGGGACAGCACTAATCCCACTGGGCCAGCAGGAGGGCAGGGTAGAGAAAGGGACAGCTACCTACTATATATTTCAGAGAGTTTGTTTGTATGTCTATTTCTCTGTGTCTGTCCTCCCAGCCGAGGGACATGCACTCCACCCCTGGCTGTGCCAGCCGCAGTTGCCATGGAGAGGCGCTTCTCATCTGGCCCTCAGCTGCTGTAGTGAGAGAGGACTGGAGTGGTTCCCTCTCCCTAGGGCAGCCTGCATACTGAACCCCGCATCCCCATCCCCAAGCAATGATTTTAATGAAAAACAAAACAAACATTAATTGAGTTAAGGATCCGAAAAATGCCAGGTAAACGTGCTAGTGTTAAATACCTCAGATTCTCAGCTCATGCAAATTAATGTTCTATTGAGAATCTGGTCCACGCTATTTATATTTTATAGTTTTAACATTTATTTGAGAAAGCTCACAACAACTTTTAAATAGAAAATACTTAAGTAAAATTCTTTGAGTTTTCTATGCAAATCATAGATCTCAGTCGACCCATTTCTGCAAGATTTGAAAAAGAGTGAGACGGACTTTGTTCAAATGAATTACTGACCCCTCTCCCTGCAAATAATGTAGAATGCATATTAAAAAAAAATACGCCATTAAAGTAATCAAGCAAATCAAGTCATTAAAGAAACTCACCATAATGATTGGTCCTTATGCCTGGGTCATGTTTTGGACAGAACACTCTACAATATTGGTTCAATTTTAAAAATGAGAGAGAAAGAGTATTAATATGTAAACAATGTTACACTGACTTTGATTTTCAAGATATTTTCCCTATTTTCACCAGCATCCATACTAATGATACAAAAAAAATTGAACACAAAACTGAACCTGGTTAAAACTCAAATTTGAAAATTATCCTCCTCAGCAATGAGCCTTACAGTGGGCACTTTAATAATACATACTCCTGTAACTTTATTTATAGAACTTGACTACACTCAAATGCTGTTATGGCACATTTTTGAACTAACATATAAATCACCATGTTCTCTTGTGACATGGTCCGTGATGCATTTTCACAGCCATGAAGTTGATAGGGCCCTATGTAAAATCCCTCTCCCCCCCCCAAAAAAGCGTGGGTTCTATCCCCACAACATTTGCTCCAAATTAATGTCCAAACTAACCTCTATCAATGTTGTCATTCTTGGCCTACCAAATAATCCAGAGGTGCGTGTATTTTGTTATGTTAGGACCAATACTGGAGTAGTGCCTTGCCTTTTCTTGGAAGTGGTAACAATAGTAAAGTCCACACCCTCAATGACAGAGTAAGCTTTAACGGTGATCATTCCTTAGTACAGGAACAGGTGCTATGGATTCTGAGCACTCAAAACTGTACCAAAATATCAGCAACCTATAATCCCCACATTTAAAATAATGAGGGAGAACCTCTTTTCTCTGAACAACCAGCACCAGCTATGGTGCTAAAGTTACAAAATTCTAGTACGTGCAGATACCACCATAACAGTGGGGCTGAGAATATTTAGAAGACTTATTCAAAGCTAGTTTAGTTCTGTTGGTCATCAGAACACATAAGAAATATGAGAAGTTCTTTTGCGTTGGGACACAGAGTTTTCCACTACCATGCCAGGTACTGAACTAGAAGGAAAACTACCAAAACTTTCTAAGTGAGATGGTCCCCTAGAGAATGTGGCATACCTGAATTGGTCTCTCACAGACACTCTACCTTGTCGGGCAGAAAACTCTGTCTTTATTGATAAGTGTCTAATAAAAACTGTATCTCAGTTTTAGCTCCATGGTCTTTTGGGATTCTGTCAGACTTATGGATATTGTCCCAGGGTGGGTGGCCCTCCAAAGGAAAGAGAAGGAGGAATTTCCTGTCTCTGGGAAGGGCATCATGAAGGCAGGTTGGAGAAAACCCCAGGAAGCTGAGTAGCTTTATAGATATGGCCTATAAAAAGCAGGGAAGCCCCGAGAGAAGATTCCAGAGTCCTTGAGGAGGGAAGGGAGTCGGGAAACCTGCTAAGAAGGTGTCCTCCAGAGAATAAGCTCAATCTAATGTGCAAAGAAGGAATTCTGCTGTGCTCAGGAATAAGGGGTGCAAAACAGGGAACTTCAGTGTAGTGTGAAGGGGCAGAAGGAAGATCTGTCTGGAGTTTTATTTTCATTTTTAGTTGAACCTTCATTATCTTGGAAGGAGACAGAACTTAAATATGACCTGGTTGGATGACTGGGCTGTGGAAAACAGAGACAGACCATAAACAGGGCCAAAGCAGCTATGGTCAACGGGTACTAGGACAACACCGCAACCTGACACCAGCAAGTACTACTCCAGAGAGTAAAACTATCTATATATTCCTGTCATTAAATCAAGTTTTTTATTCATTGCAGTACTCGATAGGAACGTTTTCTCCACAGCTCCCAAATACATATAGTTTCAAACATAGCGGGGTTGAGAAGGACTTTTTGGTAGGACATATACATCGATGCTTTCAGCATTAAAAAAAAAGTTAACCTCTATTCTAACAATGCTATCAAAATGTACAATTAGAAAATGGTTTGTTAAATACCGGTAAATTCCTTGCCCTCCATCAGTTTCTAATGCTGCATCATCACACAGTGCACAAAAGTAGTGATAACTCCTGCGGCAGTTTTTTATCTCACACCCCACAGTGGCTCCTTTCTTGCGACAGAAGTTGCACATCTACAGCAGGAGGAATTGTGTTTTTAGCATGTATATGCATTTTATAATGAATAATTAAAAGCTTATACTGGAGAGTAAGTATCTTCATCAGTGAACATGCTTAAATCTTTGACTCAGCCTCTCTATTTTCCTGTTCAACATGCAAACTCACTCTTCCAAATCCCAACTCAGCTTATTTTTCAACCAACTTTCTATTATTCTCTCTGTTCTCACAACATTATATTTAAATCAGTTAATAGTCTTAGAAGTGATTCAATGATAGTGGCAGTATCTGCTCAGTTTACAAGTATACAGACGTTGAGTACAATTTTCAAAAATGCCTAGCATATAGCGTCTATGTCAGTAGCTCATATAAATGCCATAAAAAAAACTTCATGGTCTAGCATGCTACTGTTATTATAAACGAGAAAATATTTGAAAAAGTTGTCTTACCAGCCGCTTTCCTCTTCTGATTTCATCCTGAACTGAGGCCACATCAAACCTTGTCTCCTGATTCTCTGGGTTATGCTCTTCAGATTCTACAAATCCTGAGGAATACAACTACGAACAACAAGAACAACAAAAGACAGCAATATTTAACAGAGAGTAAATCAGTGAGAAACTCTGATGAATATCCGTGAGGAATTATAAAAAGTAGATGGGGTTTCCATTCAATATCAGGCATGAGAACTGTGCACTTCAAAAATATGCATTTTTATTTAACCCACAAAGCAGTGGGTCCCTAAATGGGCAAACCTGTATTTCTTTGTTCGTAATAAGCATCATCCCATATTAAGTAGGGAACACTGCTTAGCTTTTCCACCCTCCTATAAGTCAGAAGCGGTGGCACTAAACTCCGCCTACTGTTAAAGAAGATTCCACATTAAAGGAACATGGCATTTCTGCAGAGCCTCCTTGATAAGCCATCATACTATCCAGTCCCCCTTTTTTGGCCAATCAGCCCAGTAGGTTTGAAACACAACGGGAACTTTCAGGAAGTCCTCAATGTGGTATATGGCAAAGACCGGTAATGGGACATTGGAGAAGCAACTTAAATAAGTTGAACAGTGACTGCAAAAATGCAACAGAAATGTATGTGTGAGTACTTGCTGATGTACTGAACGATGTCATTAACAGGGATAATTAACTACATATGATTTAGGGATGTAAGTGACTAGTTGACTAGTGATGCGACTAGTTACTCCCCTTCCCTTGCTGCATCTATCAGAGAGAGGCAGCAAGGGGGGAGAGCAGGAGCTGGTGCTGGCACCGGCACCGTCTTCACAAGCCAGGTAGAGGCACAGTGGGAAATGGCAGAAGTGAGGACTGAAGCAGTTTCTACTTGGGCTGATTCTGCTGCGATTCTGCTTTTGAAATGTACATGTACAAGGTGCCAGGACTGCTTTTGAAATGTACATGCTACAAACACAGCAAGAGCAGTAAGATAGCTGAACTATTAAAAGGAGAAATAAAAGAGAAGCAAAGGATCCGTGACTTATGTTATCAAAAAAATAAAAACTCCAGTTTAATGTAATAGGTAACCTACACACTAAAATAATAATGTCTAGGTAGAGTTATAGCAAGGAAAGTGATTGCAAAGATGGCACCTTTTAACTCAATAGAAATGCTCCCTGTGAATTTAAAAACGTGCCTGCACACTTAATGACATTTTTTCATATTACTTTTCTCCAGATACTACAGCAAAACAAACCAATTTAGGAAGAGGGCTCTCTCATATGGGTCTCCGGAATAGTTAATTATGGTCCAAAGCACAGCCAAATTCAGCTCTTAAGTTAACCTAGATGAGAGCAGAATATGATGTCCAGAATCTTTATTATTGGTGCTGATGTGAAAGAAGGAAAGAACTCAGCTTGACTTTCAGATTCCAGGATAAGACTGCACACTTAGTAGATATAAGACATTTTATTTATAGTCAGAATCAAAATAAACCTAGAACCTCACAAGAACATTTTTACATAGTCAAATCTTTAATGAATACCACACTTAATTATTCCTTATATATTCAGACACACAGGAAACTGCCATCTTGCCACCTTGATCATACAAATGATGGCCCTGATCCTGCAAAGACTTGCAACATGTTTATCTTTGCACACTATAAGAAGTCCAATCCCATTATTGCAATCAAAATTACTCACATTACATTATCTTTGGCATGTGCATAAATCTTTGCAGGAGTGGGCCAGGGACTGAAATAACCTATTTTGCCATTCAAAATCATTGGAAGAAACAGGGTTTCAAAGTTATTGCAAAACAAGTTCATTTTTCTTGTGGCTTCTGCTTATCTAATGTTAAGGCAGTTTCTATAATTTCTAAATTTAACAAGGGCTAACCAAAATATCAAACTTGTCTTGAACTCTGAAACCTCTGATGGCAGCGAGATGGGCGAATTAGTTGCAAAACAAATATTTTCAGTCCTGCTTTTTTGTTGTCCTTCCTTCTACTGCCTACTAAGATCTGGGGCCCAATCCGGTATTGTCTTACAACTTATGTAGCTAGTTATACCCATGAAAACTGGATGTCAAATATTAATATTCTAATATAACACCACTTTACAGTAACTTGGCACTGATGACTATTCAAAGAGCAAAGTAACAGTGAATTAGCTAGTTTTTACTCTTTCTACATGCCATTTTGACTCCTGCATTAGTCTTCTTATTCCCCTTTAGTTCAATGCATTAGCTATTTGGGAAAAAATAAAACTCTCTAAAGCTCTAATCGCTGGAGCTCCAGAAGACCGTGAAATAGTAAATGATTCACTGCATTCTGAAACAGAGAGGGAATGAGTTTTGGGTTTTTTTCTAGAGCAGAGATTCTCAACTTTTCCAAATTACTGTACCCCTTTCAGGAGTCTGATTTGTCTTGTATATATTCACGTTTCACCTCTTCTTGTTTATAAAAATCAGAGATAAAAATACAAGTGTGTCACAACACACTATTATTGAAAAATTGCTCATTTTAACCATACAATTATACATTTACTGCAATATTAATATTATACTTACATTTCAGCATATAGCATATAGAGCAGTATAAGCAAGTCATTGTATGAAATTTTACTTTACTGACTTTTCTAGAAACTAGGCAAATATCTAGATGAGTTGATATACTCCTAGGAAGACCTCTGCACATCCTGGCTGAGAACCACTGTTCTAAAGTAGACAGTTATGTATAATGTCCATATTGTCTTTGAAATGTTTCCTTTTGGTCCTTTTTGATTGCTTTAATATGTTAATAAAAACTCTCACCAAACAATCTTGATGAACTGCAAGATTTTGCTTTTCTGCAATGTACATTATGGCACATTCTTCATCTGCTGGACAAAATGCACACTTTCTTTTCACCATCTTCTCCATTATCTGGAAGCCACTTGGACAAAGACTGTTGAACAAAATATAAAACCGTTAATGCAGCCACCCTATACCTGCTGGGAGAGGATAGCTGGTGAGGACCCTTAGCATTTCCCAACCTAGCTGCTATTCCACTTGCACCCAAGTAGACTTTGTGCCCAACCACTTTAGCAGCAATTGACTGGCCTGAGTAAAACTTGCTGAGACGAAAACAGATCAGAAGCTAGATGCTAGTGTTCTAGCAGTTGGTACTAGAGGAATAGGAACTAGAATTTTTTTCTTGGAAAGTAACTGAGGGGGCGGGGGGAGGGAGAGAGAGAGGGGCTGGCAGCAACAAATATGAAAACTTCCAAACTTGCTGGCAATACACGGCTCAGTGAAGAACATTTCATGCACATACCAACAACCTGGCAGAGGCTTGCGAATCACCTTTAGTTTAGAAGATGCTAGTCTGCTGCCATCAAAACTTCAAGCTTATTGTTCCACACATCTGACTACAGCTTCAATAAAATATCTGCCACAGTTTAAATAAGACAAGTACCACCCTCAGTTCCCCCAAATATCTTTCCTGAGTTCACAGGAAAGGAGGAGGAAAATATGTTTCCTTAACATACAGGGATTACAGTGAAAAGATTTACAAGTAAAAAGGGGAAAGGAAAAGACAAGAAGTTTGAGATTAGAAGATGGTTCAATAATAGATGAAAAGAGGCCATCAAGCACCACTCAGGACAACACCCAATTTACATACGCTAGAAAAATATGAAATCCCTAGCTTTCTCACAGAGATCCTCTAAGCTTTTTTTTTCCTGTTTTGAGCCTTCCAACACTTTCCTCCTCATCCTCTTTTGACCTCCCACATTGTCTCATTTTTCTTATCTGACAGTTGCAGTGAGTTTTTAAGGTTATATGCAAATTAAAGTCATAATTCAAATTCAGTCAGTACAATCTGCCCATAAAATTATAAATTCCTTCCCCACAAGCCCAGATAAGTGGTTCATTCAATATACGAGAACTATAAGCTTTACTTTTTCAGTTGTCATGCAAGTCCTGATACTCAGATCCTCAGCAACAGCTAGCTCCCATGAGGCGCAATGTTTCAAGATGCTCTCTGCTGGTGATGTCACACAGAGAGCACTGTAGCCTACTACCTGTGAGGACAGAGAAAGCCCTTTTTAATTTGTCCAAGAGTATGTGGATTTAAAAATGTATTTGTATTGCATGAGTGAGACAGAAGCTACACAGTCAAATGCAGCACCAAGAGCCAGGAACGACTAAATTCAAATCCTGGTTGTTGATTCACATTTCTTTGGGACTGTGGACAAGTAATTTAGGCTCAGTCCTCTTATCCATAAAATTGAGGCAGCACTGTCTGCTGGAAAGCTCGAGCACTGGACTGAATCAGGAGACTAAGGGTCTATTCTTGACCTGCAGTTTAACTTTTGGCAAGTTACCTCTGGTTCCCCTCCCACCAATATCTGTTTTGCCTATTTTGAAGCTCTTTGGGGTAGAAACTGTTTCTAACTATTTGCTCATTGAGGCATGATCTTAGCTGGGGACTCAAGGCATTATCTTAATACAAATAATTAGTAAAATGTAAGAAAGTATAATTTGTAAAATGTAAGAGAAGTAGGTATATTAGATTAGGGATGTTAGATATTGTGTAATTGAATAGCCATGTAACTGCATACAAAATATTATCGGTTATACGACTATTCGATAGTCCCTGGAGACAGCAAGGGGTGGTGATGTGTATAGTTGATAGGATTAATCGATAAGCCTAGGCTTATCAGTTAATCATTTACTCGGCTATACACTGACATCCCTCTTTTAGATATCATGTAACTGAATGATTGTGTAACTGCATTAAACTTTAGCGGTTACACAATTATTTGATATCCCGGGGGTGGGGCCAGCAGTCAGTGTGCTCCTGGCCCTACTGCCAGCGAGCCCCTTGTTACTCCATGCTGATACCTCAGTGTCAGAGGCAGCAGTGCGGAGTGGCAGGCGAGAGCTGATCTGCAAGGGGAGCTAGTTTAAAAATCAGCTGCTGCTGAGCTCCCCGCAGACAGAGGGTGCGC